ATCCTCAGATACAAATTCAATGACTCGATGTATCTTCATTTATAAACTCAATGACTAGATGTCCCTTAAAATAAAAACTCAATAACAAGATGTCTCTTAAAATATAAACTCAATGACTAGATGTATCCTCAGATACAAATTCAATAACTCGATGAATCTTCATTTATAAACTCAATGACTAGATGTCCCTTAAAATATAAACTCAATGACTAGATGTCTCTTAAAATATAAACTCAATGACTAGATGTCTCTTAAAATATAAACTCAATGACTAGATGTCTCTTAAAATATAAACTCAATAACTAGATGTCTCTTAAAATATAAACTCAATGACTAGATGTATCCTCAGATACAAATTCAATGACTCGATGCATCTTCATTTATAAACTCAATGACTAGATGTCCCTTAAAATATAAACTCAATGACTAGATGTCTCTTAAAATATAAACTCAATGACTAGATGTCTCTTAAAATATAAACTCAATAACTAGATGTCTCTTAAAATATAAACTCAATGACTAGATGTCTCTTAAAATATAAACTCAATGACTAGATGTCTCTTAAAATATAAACTCAATAACTAGATGTCTCTTAAAATATAAACTCAATGACTAGATGTATCCTCAGATACAAATTCAATGACTCGATGCATCTTCATTTATAAACTCAATGACTAGATGTCCCTTAAAATATAAACTCAATGACTAGATGTCCCTTAAAATATAAACTCAATGACTAGATGTCTCTTAAAATATAAACTCAATGACTAGATGTATCCTCAGATACAAATTCAATGACTCGATGTATCTTCATTTATAACTCAATGACTAGATGTCCCTTAAAATATAAACTCAATGACTAGATATAAACTCAATGACTAGATGTCTCTTAAAATATAAACTCAATGACCAGATTTCTCTTAAAATATAAACTCAATGACTGGATGTCTCTTAAAATATAAACTCAATGACTATATTTCTCTTAAAATATAAACTCAATGACTAGATGTATCCTCAGATACAAATTCAATGACTCGATGTATCTTCATTTATAAACTCAATGACTAGATGTCCCTTAAAATATAAACTCAATAACTAGATGTCTCTTAAAATATAAACTCAATGACTAGATGTATCCTCAGATACAAATTCAATAACTCGATGTATCTTCATTTATAAACTCAATGACTAGATGTCCCTTAAAATATAAACTCAATGACTAGATGTCTCTTAAAATATAAACTCAATGACTAGATGTCTCTTAAAATATAAACTCAATGACTAGATGTCTCATAAAATATAAACTCAATGACTAGATGTCTCTTAAAATATAAACTCAATGACTAAATTTCTTTTAAAATATAAACTCAATGACTAGATGTCTCTTAAAATATAAACTCAATGACTAGACGTCTCTTAAAATATAAACTCAATGACGAGATGGCTCTTAAAATATAAACTCAATGACTGGATTTCTCTTAAAATATAAACTCAATGACTAGATGTCTCTTAAAATATAAACTCAATGACTAGATGTCTCTTAAAATATAAACTCAATGACTAGATGTATCCTCAGATACAAATTCAATGACTCGATGTATCTTTATTTATAAACTCAATGACTAGATGTCCCTTAAAATATAAACTCAATGACTAGATGTCTCTTAAAATATAAACTCAATGACTAGATGTCTCTTAAAATATAAACTCAATAACTAGATGTCTCTTAAAATATAAACTCAATGACTAGATGTATCCTCAGATACAAATTCAATGACTCGATGTATCTTCATTTATAACTCAATGACTAGATGTCCCTTAAAATATAAACTCAATGACTAGATGTCTCATAAAATATAAACTCAATGACTAGATGTCTCTTAAAATATAAACTCAATGACTAGATGTCTCTTAAAATATAAACTCAATGACTAGATGTCTCTTAAAATATAAACCCAATGACCAGATTTCTCTTAAAATATAAACTCAATGACTAGATGTCTCTTAAAATATAAACTCAATGACTGGATGTCTCTTAAAATATAAACTCAATGACTAGATGTCTTTTCAGATATAAACTCAATGACTAGATGTCTCTTAAAATATAAACTCAATGACTGGATGTCTCTTAAAATATAAACTCAATGACTAGATTTCTCAGCAGATATAAACTCAATGACTCAATGTATCTTGAGATATAAATTCAATGACTAGATGTATCTTGAGATATAAATTCAATGACTAGATGTATCTTCAGATATAAACTCAATGACTAGATGTATCTTCAGATATAAACTCAATGACTAGATGTATCTTCAGATATAAACTCAATGACTAGATGTCTCTGCAGATATAAACTCAATGACTAGATGTCTCATAAAATATAAACTCAATGACTAGATGTCTCTTAAAATATAAACTCAATGACTGGATGTCTCTTAAAATATAAACTCAATGACTAGATGTCTCTTAAAATATAAACTCAATAACTAGATGTCTCTTAAAATATAAACTCAATGACTAGATGTATCCTCAGATACAAATTCAATGACTCGATGTATCTTCATTTATAACTCAATGACTAGATGTTCCTTAAAATATAAACTCAATGACTAGATGTCTCTTAAAATATAAACTCAATGACTAGATGTCTCTTAAAATATAAACTCAATGACCAGATTTCTCTTAAAATATAAACTCAATGACTAGATGTCTCTTAAAATATAAACTCAATGACTGGATGTCTCTTAAAATATAAACTCAATGACTAGATGTCTCTTAAAATATAAACTCAATGACTGGATGTCTCTTAAAATATAAACTCAATGACTAGATGTTTTTTCAGATATAAACTCAATGACTAGATGTCTCTTAAAATATAAACTCAATGACTGGATGTCTCTTAAAATATAAACTCAATGACTAGATTTCTCAGCAGATATAAACTCAATGACTCAATGTATCTTGAGATATAAATTCAATGACCAGATGTATCTTGAGATATAAATTCAATGACTAGATATATCTTCAGATATAAACTCAATGACTAGATGTATCTTCAGATATAAACTCAATGACTAGATGTCTCTGCAGATATAAACTCAATGACTAGATGTCTCTGCAGATATAAACTCAATGACTAGACAAGAATTGTTTCTCATATTAAATTTACTTACACTAGGAAAAGTCATGTTGATAATATTGAATCTGCTTTGTAAACGAGGCGAGATCTGCATACGACCACCACCGGGTGGGCCCATTGAAGCTACCAATTGCATTCCCTGAAATAATCAAGAAGTAACCATGAATGCTCCCCATAACACACCTCAGGTAGAGACGTTTTGTATTTTTGGGTTTGTACATTGGCCTCTTTGTGCAAGGTATGAGCCACTCTGCTTTTGGTAGGATTTCTGATCATGAAACCAAGACAATATTGTTATATAGATTTATATTACATTATACATACCCGCACATATTTGACAGTTTGTTTTAACCTGTCATACCAGAATCCGTAATCCATCCACAGTTTCATCAACTCAAGCGGAGGCTGAGAGCCAAAGGTATCTTTGGCAGGCATGTTGAAATCATCCATAAATGTCACTAATTTCTTTCCACCAATTGGCACATAGACACCTACAAGTAATAATCATTTGAGCATAGTTATGGTCATTTGACCTAATAAATAGAAGATAATTTATCACATGGAATCAACTATTAGGTTTATGTACCCAGTACAAACTTTTTTGGAAGGAAAAAACACAGAAGTATGAAAAGTAAATTCGGAGATATGGTTAGGTTGTTTTACCACAGACAAATGTAAAGGGCTCAAAAATCCAAGTTCATGGATGACTGACCCATGTTTGTGAACAACAGCATAAAATGAAATATATAAGTCAAAGAAATATAATCATCTGAACAGTAGGCAAATGACTTGAACATTGATTTGACTATTGAGTAATGGTAGGTATTGACATTACACAATATGGTAAAATAATGAATAGTAATGGCTTACCCTTGGTTCTCTTCTCCACTCTACTTTCAATAATATCTTGTACATTATTAGATGAAGTCTGAGCGGACATGTTGATAGTCAATACACTGTACTTCTGTGCATCTAACTTGCCAAGCACAGCTTGTGCTACAGATGTTTTACCAGTACCAACTGGACCAACCAGTAAAACTGGATAGACAGCTTGTATCAGAGCATTTACTAAGAAGTCATATCGTACAGTATCCACGGTAGGCACAATAATTTTATAGAATGGTAATCTGTGAGTCAATAAATAGTCCATGTCATTACAATCTTGGAAAGTTTGAGAAAACAAAGATAAAATTTGTAATTTACAGTTTTTATAGCACTTGTCATTCTCTATATACTAAGTATTATGTAGTCCACCATCTTGATTCACCGGCAAAGGATTATGGGTAATGTATTATAATCATAGACACAAACAATGATTTATCATACTTTACCCACAATCTTTTGCTGGAGAATAATTTCATTCAGATAAAAATATCGAAGTTAATCACAATGCCTTTTTAGTAAGAAATAAAAAAACGTGATATGTAATCTTTAAAGATGCAATAAAGTTATTATTTTTATGTGCGTATTTATTAACACAATTTCTCTCAGATGAGATCAAATTATACAAATTAAACTTCTCAAAACTACTACCACAAAACACATAAAGTAGAATAAAATGTAAATGGTGTAATTACGTTGGTTGATATCTCCATCCGCCTCTGAGTTTATCTTCCCAATGAGCCCATGTTTTATTCTTGACGTCCACATAGTATTCATAAATACTATCTTTATTAGGGAATGTGCCTTCTATTTCTCTGATATAGTTGTCTATCTTTTTTCTGCTATCTTCATCAACTGATGCACATACAGACCATATCATGCAGAATAAGAACCATAACTCATGCATGCGCTCATAATTGTCTCTATCATGAGGACTAACCTGTAAAATAAATGTCCACCAAAGAATTTGGTTGATACATGTTTGGGAAATGTTTGTGATGAATAGACATTAAAATAAGTGAAACTAAAGATAGTATCAATAGTATCATGATATATAAACCAAATCTGAAAAAAGTCATGTCAAAGCAGCAGTTGTTAATTGTATTTCTGAATAAACATTTATGGTATTGAAGGAAGACTGGTTAGGACTGATTGGCTGATGACATTCAGTATATTTTAAGTCACCATGACAACTATCAGAGCTAATACCATTTGGTGGGTACATATACATTAACATGCAAGAATACTATCATGTTAAAAATGGTTTACAGTATTATCCTGCAATCAAATAAGAATCAGTACTTACATGAGGTTATCAACACTTACCCCATTTTTCTCTGTAGCTAGTGAAGCAAAGAGTTTACAAAATGAAGACACACCATTGAGTTCTGGTATTTGTACTAATTCACTACAATTCTGCCTCTTGAACTCCAGGATCTTTGGTAAATACTTGTCAAACAATCGCTGTAAAATCTCAGCAGAAGCCTATGAAAAAGTAGAAGCTTTTAATGCTTTAATTTCTTGAAAAAAATTACTATGAATAATATTTTTGCTTTTGCTCTGTTAAATGTAGCCAATTGCCAGCACATATACATATAAGGCCCTTTGAATTACAAACTACAAGAAGTTATTTGCAGACATTGACACTGAATTTATCTTACCTTATCCTTTCTTTGTTCAAGCCATGAATTAACAAATGGCTGCCATCTTAAATCAGCATAGTCAGTATACACCATTCCACATCGACTGACAGTAGCAGGAGAAGCTACAGCTAAATCTTCCACTTCAAACAATAAAGATACCTGAATAATATACAATTAAACCTCTATATAACCATTCTCTAAGCCTCAACTGATTTCTGCTCTTGGTGGCATGGTTGAGGGTTCACAATCAGTTTCTGCCAAAGAAGACATTTTACACCTCAAACCAAGGGATTATGCATATTTTTTTCAAATACGCTATATTACTCATTTATTTTTTATATTTTATATAAAAACATTTCCCCAAGACAAAATTCATAAAATTTGATAAATAACTATGGAAAATCTACTAAACTCAAGAAAGTAGGTCCACTCTTGAGCACAATGTCGTGGAGAAGCCATATATGTAACTCTGTTTAAATGATCTGAATAAATCACACGAAATGAAGCAAAACCAAATGTTTTTTGGTTTAGAAAAGTCATAATGATATTTGTACTGTTTTTGAGTATCACTCTGTATGTGTGGGTTATAAATGTTCAAATATTCAAATTTACTTGTGACATGTTAAGTTGATACTTGTAGAATACTATGTAACAGTCTTATAAATTAACACCACACATGTTGTTCAATGTTATCAATGTATAGGATAGTGTACCTGTTCTGGCATAGCAATACGTTCACCATTAATCAATGTTAAAACTTTATTATCATCCATAACAGAGTTCATGCTCTCAATCCACAGAGTATCAACTGGACCATCAAATACCAACCATTTCTGATCAGGTTTCTCATCTAAATTACAATGATAAACATTTATTATTAAATTAATTTTCTATTTGAATTGACATGTTTAAATAACAGAAAAACAAGGTGAGTACTTACCAGCACATGTCTGTCTCATTACACAGGATAACACACCATCAGTCCATTCATTTGTATTCAAATCAAATTCACCATACAGTTCACCCAGTGATAAGGACTTGGGATTAATAGGAAAATCCTAGCAAAAATAAAATAAAACTCAATGTTTCAGGTCAAACACAGATTAAACTAAACTTTGAAACTGAATGTTGATCCTATGTAATGGTGGCTTGGCACATATGCAAATGCCCATTATTGGAGATTTAATAAAGGACAGGTGTATACCTTAACAGCTTGATAATCTTCAAAGTTGTCTTTTTTTAATGATGTCATCGCAGCTTGCAATGTCTTCCATGCCACCGTTTTACCACTACCTGTTTGACCCACAATCATAGTTGAATGACGTGAACTCTTAGTTTCATACAACTGAATGACTTTTAGCACAGTAGATGGTGTCAACTGTAATCCATGCACTCTCAGCTCTTTTTCCACTTGTGATTTCAGCTGTTAACAAAAATACAGGTACCAGTCAAAATTATATTTTACCAACACCATGTATTACTGTATGTGAACTTACCCTGCCATAATCAATGAGTGGAGTATCAACACATTGTGTTACTGCATGTGAACTTACCCTGCCATAATCAATGAGTGGAGTATCAACACATTGTGTTACTGTATGTGAACTTACCCTGCCATAATCAATGAGTGGAGTATCAACACATTGTGTTACTGCATGTGAACTTACCCTGCCATAATCAATGAGTGGAGTATCAACACATTGTGTTACTGCATGTGAACTTACCCTGCCATAATCAATGAGTGGAGTATCAACACATTGTGTTACTGTATGTGAACTTACCCTGCCATAATCAATGAGTGGAGTATCAGCACATTGTGTTACTGTATGTGAACTTACCCTGCCATAATCAATGAGTGGAGTATCAACACATTGTGTTACTGCATGTGAACTTACCCTGCCATAATCAATGAGTGGAGTATCAGCACATTGTGTTACTGCATGTGAACTT